TTTGACCTACTTTTATTAATTTTTGACGGCCATACAAGGTAAAAATCGGCTCAAGATAAATTAAGAGGGAGATAGGATTCCTCAGGAGGTACCCTCCTATTTTATAAGACCATAAAAAAATTTGAGGTGTTGAAGAAACCTGATAATATGGGCGTAAATCCATTACCCTTCGGTTTGACATTCTGTTATTAATTTTCTAAGTTCATACAACGTTAAGAAAGGTTCAATGAAAATTAAGAGGGACAGTAGATGACTGAGAAGGAACCCTGTAATTTTTAAAGACCATAAAAAAATTTTAAGGATTAAAGAATTCTGATTTTTAAGGCCTCAATCGATAATACTTGGGTTCGACCTTCTTTTCTCGATTTGTCAAGGTCTTACAAGGTCAGAATAGGTTCATCGAAAATTGAGATGGGAGGAAGATAATCTAGGAGGTACCCTGTACTTTTATAAGACTATATAATAATTTAAGGGCATGAAGAAACCTAATTTTCAGTGCCTAAATCTATTATCCTTTGGATTGACATACTTTTCTTGATATTTTAAGGTCATGCAAGGTCAAAATAGTTCCAATAAATACCGAAAGGGATGTCGGTGGTCTTAGAAGGTACCCCGTCATTGTCAAGGACTTAAAAAATTAAGGGCATAATGAAACCTGTTTTTTCGCTGCCTCAATCGATAACACTTGGGTTTGACATTCTTCCATCAAATTTTCAAGGTCATACAAGATCAGGATAGGTTCTTTTGAAATTCAGAGGGACAGAGGATGAATTAGAAGATACCCTGTAATTTTATAAGACTATAAAAACATTAATGGGCATAAAAAAACCCGATTTTATAGGCCTGATCCAATTTTACTATGTTTGACCTACGTTCTTATATTATTTAAGGTCACTCAGGTCAAAATACGTTAAATAAACACCAAGAGGAACGGAAATAATACAGGAGGTGCCCTATAATTTTTAAGGGTCCCTAAACAAATTTCAAAGCATCAAGAAACCTGATTTTGTGGGCCTGATTGAATTGTACTTGGTTCTGACCTACTTTAATTAATTTTTCAAGGTCAAACATGGTCAAAATAGGTTCAATTAAAATAGAGAAGGGAAGTGAATGACTTAGGAGGTACCCTATGATTTTTAAGGGCCATAAAAAAATTTGAGGGCATAAAGAAGCCTCATTTTTCGGCCCTAACTCAATGGCACTTGGGTTTGATCTGCTTTCATCAATTTTTCAAAGCCATACAAGGTAAAAATAGGTTCAATGAAAATTAAGAGAGCGAGAAGATACCCTGTAATTTTTTACGACCAAAAAAACATTTAAGGGCCCGGAAAAAACTGATTTTTTTGGGCCTAAATCAATTTTACTTGAGTTGGATATACTTTTCTTTATATTTTGAGGTCATGCAACGTTGAATAGATTCAATAAATATTTAAAAAGACAAAGGATGTCTTAGGAGGTACTCCGTAATTTTTAAGGACTATAAAAAAATTTAAGGGCATAAAAGAATTTTGGGGCAAAAAGAAACTGGATTTTTTGGGCATAACTTAATTGTACTTTGTTTTGACCTACATTTATTAATTTTTTTAGGTCATACAACGTCAAAATAGGTTTAATAAAAATTGAGAGAGACAGTGTATAACTTAGGAGGAACCCTGTAATTTTAAAGGTCCATAATAAAATTTAAGGGCATAAAGAACCCTGATTTTTTCGGCCTTAATCGATAATACTTGCGATTGACCTACTTTTATTAATTTTTCAAGGTCATACAAGATTAGAATAGGTTCTTCAAACATTCAGAGGGACGGAGGATAACTCAGGGTGTACCCTGTAATTTTATGAAACCAAAAAGAAATTTAAGGGCATAATAAAACCTTTTTTTGCCCAAATCAATTTAACTCGTGATTTACCTACTTTTATTGATTAAAAAATTTTAAGGGCCTCAAGAAACCTGATTTTCGTAGGCCTCAACGATAATACTCGGATATGACCTACTTTTATTAATTTTTCAAGGTCACACCAGGTCATAATACGTTCAATAAATATTGAGAGGGATGGGAAATGAGAAAGGAGGTGCCCTGGATTTTTTAAGGCACCATAAAATAATTTTAAGGCATAAACAAACCTGATTTTTTGGCCCTCAATCAATTGTACTGGATTTTCACCTACTTTAATTAATTTTTCATGGTCATACAAGGTAAAAATCGGTTTAATAAATATTAAGAGAGACGTAAAATGGTCTTAGGAGGTACCCCGTAATTGTCAAAGAATATAAAAAAGTTTAAGGGCATAAAGAACTTATTTTTTAGGCCTCAATCGATAATACTTAGGTTTGACCTACTTTTATTAAATTTTCAAGGTCATATGAGGTAAAAATAGGTTAAATAAGAATTCAGAGGGACAGCGGATGACTGAGAAGGTACCCTTTAATTTTTAAGACTTATAAAAAAATTTTAGAGCATAAAGAAACTGGATATTTCGGCCCTAATCAATTGTACTTGGTTTTGAACTACTTTCATTAATTTTTCAAGGCCATACACGAGAAAAATAGGCTTAAGAAATATAAAGATGGAGAGAGAATAACTTAGGAGGTACCCTGTAATTTTATTAAACCATAGAAAAATTTCAGGGCTCAAAGAAAACTTTTTTTTGGACCTAAATCCATTATCCTTCAGTTTGACATACTCTTCTTCATATTTGGAGGTCATGCACGGTCAAAATAGGTTCATGAAAACTTCAGAATGACACAGGATGACTTAGGAGATACCGTGTAATTTAATAAGACCAAAACAAAATTTAAGGGCACGAAAAAAAATAATTTTTTGGGCCTAAATCAATTTTACTCGAGTTTGACCTACTGTAATTAATTTTTCATGCTCATAAAACGTCAAAATAGAATCAATCAAAATTGATAGAGAAAGTAGATGACTTAGGAGAAACCCTATAATTGTTAAGAACCATAAAAGGATTTTAGGGTATAGAGAAACCTGATTTTTAAGTCCTTAATCGATAATAATTGGGTTTGACTTACATTTATCGATTTGTCAAGGTCTTACAAGGTAAGAATAGGTTCATCAAAAATTCAGATGGACGGAATATAACTCAGGAGGTACCCAGTTATTTTATTAGAAATTTGAGTGTATCAAGAAACCTGATTTTTTTGCCTAAATCTATTATTCTTCGGTTTGACATACTTTTCTTGATATTTCAAGGTTATGCAAGGTCAAAATACGTTTAATATATATCGAGAGGGTCGTAGGAGGTACCCCGTAATTGTCAAGTAGCGTAAAAAATTTAATGGCATAAAGAAACCTGATTTTTCGGGCTTTAATCGATAATACTTGGGTTTGACTGACTTTATTAATTTTTCAAGGTCATACAATGTCAGAATAGGTTCATCGGAAATTCAGAGGGACGGAGGAAGACTCAGAAAGTACCCTGTAATTTCATAAGAACATAAAAACATTTTATGGCATGAATAAACCTGATTTTTTAGGCTTAAATAAATTTTACCTTAGTTTGACCTACTTATTTATATGTTTCACAGTCACACAAGGTCAAAATACGTTCAATGAATATCAAGAAGGATGGAAAATTTCACAGGAAATGCCCTGTAATTTTTTAGTGGCCATAAAAAAATTTTAAGGCATCAAAAAACTTTATTTTTTGGGCCTTAATCAATTGTACTCTGATTTGACCTACTTTCATTTATTTTTCAAGGTCTTACAAGGTCAGAATAGGTTCATCAAAAATTCATAGCGACGGAGGATGACTTATGAGGTACCCTGTAATTTTATAAGACCATAAAAACATTAACGGGCATGAAAAAACTTGATTTTGTAGGCCTAAATAAATTTTACTTGAGTTTGACCTACTTTTTTATCTTTTTCGAGGTCACTCAGGTTAAAATACGTTTAACGAACATTAAAAGAGACAGAAATGACACAGGATGTGGCCTGTCAATACTATGGGGCCCTAAAAAAATTTTAAGGCATCAAGAAACCTGATTTTTTGGGCCTTAATAAATTGTTCTTGGTTTTGACCTACGTTAAACAATTTTTTACGGTCATACAAGGTCAAAATAAGTTCAGTACAACTTTAGGGGGTCAGTGGATGACTTTTGAGGTACCTTTTTATTTTTAAAGTCCGTAAAAAAATTTGAGGGCATAAAGAAACCTGATTTCTCAGGCCTAAATCAATTTTACTTGAGTTTGACCTACTTTTTTAAATTTTTCAAAATCACAGAAGGTCAAAATACGTTCAATGAATATTATCAGGGATGGAAAATTACACAGGAGGTACCCTGTAAATTTTGAGTGGCCATAAACAAATTTTAAGGCATCAAGAAACCTGATTTCATGGGCCTCAATCAATTGTACTCGGTTTTGAACTACTTTAATTAATTCTTCAAGGTCATACAAGGTCAAAATAGGTTTAATAAAAATTTAGATCATCAGTGGATGACTTAGGAGGAACCCTGTAATTTTTAAGGACTATAAAAAAATTGAAGGGCATAGAAAAACCATATTTTCTTGGCCTTAATCCATAAAACTTCGGTTTGACCTACTCTAATTAGTTTTTTTACGTCATACAAGATAAAAATATATTAAATAAAAATTGAGAGGGACAGTGAATGACTTAGGAGGTACATATTAATTTTTAAGGACCATAAAAAAATTGGAGGGCGTAAAGAAACCCGATTTGTCGGTCCTAAATCAATTGTACTTGGATTTGATCTACTTTCATTTATTTTTTAAGGTCATACAAGGTCAATATAGGTTTATCAAAATTTCAGAGGGACGGATGATAGGTTTAACTTGGGTTTTACCTACTTGTATTGATTTTTTCAGGTCACACAAACCTCAACATAAACAAAATAAAATTAGTCTTATGCCATTAGATGGACAGCGGAATTTGTATGAACGTCCACCTTAACAAGCTAGCCGTAAGATGGACGGTGTGGCTTAATGTATATAGAATAAGTGAAAGGAAATTTAATATAGACCGGATAGCTCAAATGGTAGAGCAGCCGACATGTCTTCGGAAGGTTCTGGGTACGAATCCCAGTCCGAGCTATCTAATATTTTTTTCTCACATATTCTATACACTCACATTAAGAAGTTCCTCTCCACAATCCTTTCTCAATTCTTTCCTACCAAAATATCTTGTTACGTGAATGTTGGAAAGCTTCACGTTATATGTATCCGTAATTCCTATTCTTTCCCGCTTCACAGCATTATTTATATTTGTTAAGAAAACACCTTTACAAGAATAAAATGTGTTTTCCATACATGCTTTTATATATACGATTGTAGTAAAAATTTATCGTTATTTATAATAATAAAAATAATATTTATGATTATAATTCCAAAAAAAAAAAAAATAAAAATTACTTAAACAAATAATATATTCGATACCTAGGCCAGTAAAATAAGAAAAATCTCAGACCACATTTAATTGTTGGCCAGGGCGAAGCCGAGGTTGACAAACATGTGGTCTGAGGCATTACTTTTGACAGTTGTATACTATTTATCTGCTCGACGTAGCCGGAATGAGGCAACTTTGTTTAGCGGAGCGGCCAGAAATTTGCCACTTTCCGGTCGGAGGGCAGAAAATGAAATTTGTTTTATGCCGTAAGATGGACAGTGAAGTTAATAAGATGGTCCACCTTAACAAGCATAAAATGTGTTTTCAATGCATGCTTGTAAATTTACGATTCAAGTAAAAATTTTTCAGTTAATTATTATAATAATAATAATGATCTTTATAATTTTAATTTCAAAAAAAAAAAAAAAAAAATTTCGATTCACTGTCAACAAATGACTTCAAAAAAAACATAGACCAATACGTATGGGCAAAATGGAACGGTATCTGAAACTCGAAACATACCTCACTTCGAGATGTGAGACAAAATGTCTGGGAAAATCAACGTGAAATAAACAACACAAAACATCAAAGTATCGTAACAAAACTTCGAATAGCGCACACACGACTAACACACAGTCATCTTTTCTCGAAAACACTAATATACTATTGTTATACTTCTTCTATTAATTCTTTCACTAAATGTATAATAATTGTAGTCGCTAATAGCCTCAGATGTTTATGCGACTATAACCAAATCAATAAATAAAATAAATAATCTTTAGAATTATAATTTTAAAAAAAATGAAAATAAAAAAACCAAAAAAATTTCATAGAAAAAAAAAATATCATTAAAAAAAAAGAAAAATTTCGGAAAAAAAAAAATTTCCAGAAAAAAATAAACAAATATTTTTTAAAAAAAAAATAGCAAAATTCTTAAAATAAAATTTTTTTTATGCCGTAGGACGGACGGCGGAAATTATAAAATGGTCCACCTTTACAAACATAGAATGTGTTTTTTATAAGAGCTTGTATATATATGATTTAGGTAAAATTTCTTTTGTTATTTATTATAATATAAATAATTATTTTTTCTTATATCTCGTTCTTGCCGTTTTCGGTCATATTTTTTGATGCGAGAGTAACGAATTCAAGAGGATGGTGATATTCCATCTTCGCTAATGCTTTTAGGACAAATCATCCCTGGAGTTAGTTCGATGGATGGCTTTAGGACGTCAAATACTTTCTTATGAAACGCAAAGGAACAAAGTTCCAAAATAGACCGTTCTCCTTGTAAAACGTTCAAAAATAAAACTTTGTATTTTATGAAAATTTAGTTCATACTTATCTTTAGGACGTCAAATACACGCTATCTAGACCACTTATAAGCGTATGAAACTAATTGAGACAAAGTTACAAATTCGACCGTTACCTTCGTAAAACGTTCAAAAATGAAATTGTGTAATTTATGACAAATAAGCTCATAATTTTCTTCATGACGTCGAATACAAGTTATCTAAGCAAGTCCGAAACCTTAGAAACCCATAGAGACAATTACAAAATCGACCGTTATCTCGTGAAACTTTCAAAGATGAAACTTTGAAATTAACGAAATTGGAATCATAATAGTCTTTGGGACGTCAAATACAAGTTATCTGGACCATTTAGAGGCTTACGAAACCGATATAGACGAAGTTACGAAATTGATCGTTCTCTCAATGAAACGATCAAAAATGAAACTTTGTAATTTAGGAAAATTAAGGTCATAGTCGGCTTTAGGACGTCAAATACAAGCTACCTGGACCATTCCTAATCTTACGAAACCCATAGAGACAAAGTTACAAAATCGAACGTTCTCATCGTAAAATGTTCATAAATGAAACTTTGAAATTAATAAAATTGAGATCCTCATCGTCTTTTGGACGTCAAATACAAGTTATCTAGACTAGTCCGAAACCTTAATAACTTATAGGAACGAAATTACAACATCGACCGTACTCCTTGTGAAACGTTCATAAATGAAAATTTGAAATTAATAAAATTTAGATCATAATCGTCTTTAGGATGTTAAATACAAGTTATCTAGACGATTCCACAATCTTAGAAACCAATAGGGACAAAGTTACAAAATCGGCCGATCGCCTCGTGAAAAATTCAAAAATGAAACCGTAATTTCTAAAAATAATGTTCTTAGTAGTCTCCAGGACGTCAAACACAATCTGATTGGACCATTTCTAAGCTTATGAAACCCATAAGAACAATGTTCCAAAATAGACAGTTTTCCTCGTGAAACGTTCAAAAATATAAAACTTTGTATTTTATGAAAATTTCAGTCATAATTATCTTCAGGACGTCAACTACAAGCTATCTGGACTAGATCAAAACCGTAAAAACCTATAGGGTCAAAGTTACAAAATCGACCGTTTCCCACGTGAAACGTTCAAAGATGAAACTTTGAAATTAACGAAATTGAAATCATAATAGTCTTTGGGACGTCAAATACAAGTTATCTGGACCATTCATAGGCTTAAGAAACCGATAGAAACGAAGTTGCACAATCGATCGTTCTCTCCCTGAAACGATCAAAAATGAAACTTTGTAATTTATGAAAAGTATGGTCATAATCGTCTTCAGGACGTCAACCACAAGCTCTCTGGACTAATCCTAAGCTTACGAAACCGATAGGGACAAAGGTTAAAAAATCTACTGTTCTGCTACTAAAACGTTAACAAATAAAACTTTGTAATTTATTAAATCTAAGGTCATAGCCGGCTTAAGGACGTCATTTACAAGTTATCTAGGATAGTCTGAAACCCATAGGGACCAAGTTACAACATCGACCGTACTCCACGTGAAACGTTCATATATGGAACTTTAAAATTAATAAAATTAAGATCATAATCGTCTTTAGGACGTTAACTACAAGTTATCTAAACTATTCCGGAACCGTAAAAACCAATAGGGACAGTTACAAAATCGACCGATCTAATCGTGAAAAATTCAAAAATGAAACAGTAATTTCTGAAAATAATGTTCATAGTCGTCGTCAGGATGTCAAACAAAAGCTAATTGGACCATATCTAAGCTTATGAAACCCATAGAAACGAAGTTCCAAAATAGACCGTTCTCCTCGTGAAACGTCCAAAATAAAACTTTGTATTTTATTAAAATTTATGTCATAATTATCTTCAGGACGTCAAATACAAGCTATCTAGACCACTTATAAGCTTACGAAACCGATTAAGACAAAGTTACAAATTCGACCGTTCCCTTTGTAAAACGTTAATAAATGAAATTGTGTAATTTATGACAAATAAGCTCATAATCTTCTTCATGACGTCAAATACAAGTTATCTAATCAAGTCCGAAACCTTAGAAACCCCTATGGGAAACCCCTATTGTTTAGAGGTCCATAGGGATGGACACAATTACAAAATCGACCGGTATCCTCGTGAAACGTTCAAAGACTAAACTTTGAAATGAACGAAATTAAAATCATAATAGTCTTTCGGACGTCAAATACAAGTTATCTGAACCATTCATAGGCTTACGAAACCGATAGAGACGAAGTTACAGAATCGACCGTTCTCTCCCTGAAACGATCAAAAATGAAACTTTGTAATTTATGAAAAGTATGCTCAAAATCGTCTTCAGGACTTCAACCACATGCTCTCTGGACTAATCATAAGCTTACAAAAACGAAGGGGACAAAGGTGGCAAAATCGACTGTTCTCGTCCTGAAAAGTTAAAAAATGATAGTTTGTAATTTATTAAAATTAAGGTCACAGTCGGCTTAAGGACGTCATATACAAATTATCTAGGATAGTCCGTATCAATCAGCTTGTGTTTGACGTCTTAAAGACGACTATAAACATTATTTTCAGAAAGACCATTGCTAAGCTTACGAAACTGATAGGGACGAATCAACGAAATCGACCGTTCTCTCCTTGAAACGTTTAAAAATGAAACTTTGTAATTTATGAAAAATAATTTCATAGCCGGCTTTAGCAAGTCAAATACAAGCTACTTGGAACGTTCCTAAGCTTACGAAACTCTTAGAGACAAAGTTACAGAATCGAACGATCTCATCATAGAACGTTCATAAATAAAACTATGAAATTAATAAAATTGAGATCATAATCGTCTCTAGGACGTCAAAAACAATTTATCTAGACCAGTCCGAAACCCGAGAAACCCATAGGGACAATATTACAAAATCGACCATTCACCTCGTGAAAGGTTCAAAGATGAAACTTTGTAATTCATGAAAAGAATAGTCCTAATCGTATTCAGGTCGTCGAATACAAGCAATCTGGACCATTGCTCAGCTTACAAAACTGATAGGGACGAAGTAACAAAAGCGACGTTCTCTCCTTCAATTGTTCAAAATTGAAACCTTGTAATTTATGAAAAGTATGGTCATAATCGTCTTCAGGACGTAAACCACGAGCTATCTGGACTGCTCGTGAGTTTAGGAAACCGATAAAGTCGAAGTTACAAAGTCGACTGTTTTCCTCTTGGAACGTTAAAAAGTAAAACTTTGAAATTTATGAAAAGTATGGTCATAGTCGGCTTTAGGACGTCATGTACAAGTTATCTAGAATGGTCCGATACCTTAGAAACCGATAGGGACCAAGTTCCTAAATCGACCGTTCTCCTTTTGAAACTTTCAAAAATAAGACTCTATAATTTATGAAAATTGAGGTCAGAATCGTCTTTTGGACGTCAAATAGAAGCTATCCAGACCAGTCCGATACCTTACTAACTTATAGGAACAAAGTTACAAAATCGAAGGATCTCATCGTGAAAAATTCAAAAATGAAACAGTAATTTCTAAATGGC